TAATTTTTCTTTTTTGTGTATTTCTTTTTTTATTTTCTTACTATTTATTTAAGGTACGTAATTTTCCTTTGTTTGTAGATGAAAATCTATCTGGGTTCGTCTTCCTTTAGCTCCATATAAGGTATGTTCTCGTTTCTGTACATGCATGAAAATATATCTACGTTTACATATTCATGATTCATGAGGTTGAAGGTCATGAATTTTCGCCGTTTCGAAGCTGGTGAGGAATCAATTATCATCATTCATAGCCAACTTCAACAATTTCAAATCACTATTTCACTCCATTTTTCATTCACTGTAGAAGAAAATGAAATTGCACTGGACGCAAAAAAAAATGTTAATAGAGTGTGAAAATTATATAGATGTGTACATACACATTTACATACATACATGTTTACGTGTGTGAGGAGAGAGGATTACTTTTCTTCTTATAGAATATATTTTATTTAATTAGTATATAATAATAAAATAGTATCTGCCTTTACCATAAGAGAGGAGATTGTCCAAGTTATTGTTTATGTTTGGCACAATTTCACACGTAACCAGTTTCTTCCTTTAGTATGTAGACTAGAGATATTTTTTTCTTATTCTTATCTAATATGAAAATTATTTAAGTTGAAAACGCCTAACTTTGTATGAACTTTAAAAATTCTTTAAAATATATGTGTTGGGGACATGTAGATTTATATTAACTTTAAAGATGAATAAAATTTGAATTGAAGGCGCCGTGTAGTATTTAGTGCCATGCCTTGATTTTTTATAAATTGATAGATGACCGTGGTAGATAGAAGTCTTGTCTAAGTTAAATAGTTATAATGGAAGTGTATTTATAGGGAAATTTATTCTGTAGGTTGCTTTGAATTAGAATTTCGAATGTTCCAAGAGAGAAGCTAGAGTACCATACTTTTTTATTGAAAAAGATACTTTGTTAGAGCTTATTAAGGTAGAAATTCATAGATGGAAATCTTTTATTACTTGCTGCCTGAATTCTTTTGTGCATTTCCAGTCGTCCACTTATGAATTTATTAAGTTTATGATTGTTGATAAATTACTTACATTATAACTTTAGAAATAGATTGCATATGTAGGTTGATTGGGTGGAAGCAAAACCACTAAATTTATAGATGAAAAATATTTTCTTTTTAGAAGTCTTTATTTTCCTACTTTTCGGTAGTAGTATAGCAAAAACTTTTACAACATTACAATAGTATTTATGTTTTTTTAACAAAAACTATTAATTTTACAAGAATTATATAAAAATGTTAATCTTTTATTCCTGCTTTTACATCATATAAGTCTTATTAAAATTTTATTTCATCAATAGTTCAGTCAACAATGTTTATATTTATTGCTATTGCTTTGAAGTAAACAATTTTTTTATTAAACTTCAGCTTTATGCATGTTTTTAATGTTGTGAGAGTCTGGTTCACTTGTGTCTATCGAATATTTTTCCTATTGTGGAAACTTAGTAGTATTATTAATTTTTTAATTATTTCGTTCACTAAAATGAAAATTCTTTGCTTTCGTTAAACTAGAGGTGAAGATCTTTTCCCCATGGATTCTTCGAACATTGATAGTACTTCTCAAAATGCAACTGAATCGTATACTGCTTTCATTCGCCAACAACAAAACCAAAGACATGCGAATAGGAGGAATCGAATTCAAAGTCCAGGCGTTGATCGTCGTAAAAGAATAAATAATTCCACGTTGCATCCTAATTTTCAGGCTTCTACTTCAAATCAAGCACGTACTAATATTGTTCATTCTAAAGTACGAGGGATTTCTAACCTATTAAACATACCTACTAATGCATATGTATTACCGACATGGAACTATTGTGAACATTGTGGTGCGCGAAAATTTTACAGAGAAACTAAAGGGTTCTGTTGCTCTGATGGAAAAGTTAAACTTTATATGCCTGATTCACCAACTGAATTGTATAATTTATTTACTTCTAAAGAACCTGAATGCATGGAGTTTAAGAAAATTTCACGTGGATATAATAACCATTTTGCATTCACTTCATTTGGTGTAAAGTGCGATACAGACCTTTTTAGAGCATATAAAGGTATTTACACATTCAGAATTCAGGGACAAGTATATCATTATGTAAATCAACTTCTGCCGAAAAATAATTAGCCTTCTTATATGCAATTATATTTTTATGATACGAATAACGAAGTTGAAAATCGTATGAAAATTTCAGAAAATTTTGTTGAATCTACTTTGATCATTTTTATTGAAATCTTGAAAGTAAATCCGTATAGTAGATTCTTTAGGTCTTTAAGTAATATGACCAATTTGCACGACCATCAAATACAAATAAGATGCGATCCTGGACTTGATCAAAGAGTCTTCAATACTCCTTCAGCATCTCAAGTAGCCGTTGTATGGGTTGAGGATGATGACAATGCAAATATTCGTGTTCGTGATATTACTATATATGGTCATTCTGGTGATTCACATAAGGTTCACTATTATTATGGTTGTTATGATCCTTTGCAATACCCTTTACTTTTCCCATTTGGAGAACCTGGTTCGCATGAAGGTATTCAGAGATACAAAAAAACATATTTTAAAACTCAGAATTTACCCGATTGCGTAGCTTTTCCTAGAACAGTAAATTTTGCAACTGAAATCATTGCAAAAGAGGCTCAAGGTTTGCTATTAAACTTTTTTATATGTTTACTAATTCATATAAATTAAATGTTCCAAATGGGTGTAAGATGCATTTTTTTATCCTTATGCAGTATTCAATGGAATGAGGAAACGATCACAGGCTTCTTGCCGTGAGTACTATTCTTACAAGTTACAAATTAGGCCTTCTAGTAAGTCTGTGTTGCTTCATACTAGTAGACTTTTTCAACAATATGTTGTAGATATGTATGTTAAAACTGAAACTGCCAGATTAGACTATTTTCGTTGCAATCAGAAACAAATTCGTGCTGAACTTTATCATGGTATTGTGGATAGTGTTCAAAATGGGGAAACAAGAGGGTCAAAAATTGGAAAGAAGATTGTTCTACCACAAACTTTCACATGTGGGCCTAGAGATATGCTTAAAAGATATTTAGATGCAATGGTTATCGTCCAACGTTATGGAAAACCAGATATATTTCTAACTATAACATGTAATCCAAATTGACCAGAAATTATGCAAGAACTCAAACACAATGACGAAGTTCAAAATCGACCAGATTTAATTGCACGTATATTTAGAGCAAAATTGGAAGAGTTAAAGAACGATTTATACAAAGAAAATATTTTTGGTTCAGTTGTTGCTCATATATACATGATTGAATTTCAAAAAAGAGGGCTCCCTCATGCCCATTTATTGTTGATTTTCAATTCTGCCCATAAAATTTGTTGTGCTGAACAAGTTAATATGATAGTGTCATGTGAAATTCCCGATAAGAATAAATACTTGCATCTTCATTCTGTAATTGCAAAACACAATATGCATGGCCCTTGTGGAAACCTTAATCCAAAAAACGTATGTATGTTGGCAAGTAGTGGTTGTAAAAATAAATATCCTAAGGATTATTGTAACAGTACTATATTTGGTGATAATTCATATCCCTTGTATAGACGTCGTGATGATTGTATTTCTATTAAAGTAAGAGGCCAAATGTTAGATAATCGGTGGGTTGTACCATATAATCTTTATTTAAGTGCAAAATTTGACTGTCATATTAACGTTGAAGTATGTTCTTCTATTAAAGCAGTAAAATATTTGTACAAATATGTGTATAAAGGACATGATCGTATTAATTATTTCGTAGGCAGAAATGAAACAAATAAGGAAATTGATGAAATTTTTGCTTATCAATCTGCTAGATGGATATCTCCACCTGAAGCTATGTGGAGAATTTTTTCTTTTAATTTGTCAGAAATTTATCCTACTATTTACGCTTTACAACTTCATATTAAAGATCATCAGCACGTAACTTATAATAGTAAAGATGATTTATCTGTTATTGTTGGAAATGAGTATACGAGAAGAACAACGCTAACTGAATTTTTTCGGATGAATGAAGTAAATGAATTTGCTCGAACGCTATTGTATTGAGATTTTCCAACACATTTTGTGCGGAATGCAACTAGAAAAACTTGGACTCCCAGAAAACAACACATTGTTATAGGGCGAATCGTGACAGTTAATCCATCCGAAGGAGAACGATATTTCCTTCGTGTTCTTCTAAATCATATTAAAGGTCCAACATCATATGACAGTTTTAAAACTTTAAATGGAGTAACAGTCAATACATATCGAGAAGCAGCACTTTTACATGGTTTGTTAAAAGGAGACAACCATTGTGAAGAATGTCTATCTAAAGTCATTATTTACAAAATGCCCAGTTCTTTAAGACGTCTTTTTGCTACACTTCTTACACTTTGCAACCCTAATCATCCAAAGTTATTGTGGGATAGATATAAAGCCTATATGATTGATGATTATGTACATCGAAACATATGTGTTAAAGATGCTGAAATACAAGCTTTGGAAGACATCAATTCTATATTAGAATCGTCAGGAAAAAATGTAAATGATTATGGAATAGTTTCATTCTTTATAAATATAGATGAGACTCAAAGATTGGCAAGAATGATTGCAGAGGAAACAATGAGTTTTAATATTCAACGAGACTTTAATTGTGTAGAGAAATTTAATAAAGAACAACGATTTGCATATGATAAAGTTATGGAAAAAATAAAAAATGACTCAAGTGGTACTTTCTTCATTGATGGTCCAGGGGGGACGGGGAAGACTTTTTTTATACAAAGCACTTCTAACTGCTGTAAAAGGTCAACATTTCATTACTTTGGCAACAGCGTCCTCTGGAGTTGTTGCGTCTCTGTTACCTGGAGGTCACACAGCTCATTCAAGATTTAAAATTCCTTTAGAAACAATTGGTGAAGTGAATTGTTCTGTTAGCAAGCAATCAGCTTTAGGAATAATGTTGAAAATGTCTAGGTTAATAATTTAGGATGAAGCGCCTATGGTAAATCATTGCGCTATTGAAGCTGTAGACAGAATGCTTAGAGATATTACCGATTGTAACTTGCCTTTCGGTGGGAAAGTGATAGTTTTTGGAGGAGATTTTCGACAAGTTCTTCCAGTGGTACCGAGAGGGAAAAAAGATGATGTAATGAAAGCTAGCTTGGTCTTTTCAGACCTATGGGCTTCCTATTTACGTTTACCATTGGTTGAGAATATGAGGGCAAAATCAAATTCTATGTTCTGCACTTACTTACTCAGAATTGGTAATGGAACAGAAGAAGAACACACTTGTAAGTGCATTATGCTTCCGAATAGTATAATTCTACCATTTGAAGATGAAATCACATCTTTAAAAATTTTGATACATCATGTTTTTCCAAATAAACAGGCATATGTTGACAATTTACATAATATGATAAATAGAGTTATTCTTACACCTACGAATGAATGTGTTGATTATATTAACAAGATTTTACTCGAACAAATTCCCGGTGATTTTTCCACAGACTATAGTTTTGATGAAGCAATTGACAAATCGGAACAAAGCTTGCACGAAGATTTGTTGAATACTTTGACACCAAATGGTATTCCACCGCATGAATTGAAACTTAAGGTAAATTGTCCTGTAATGTTATTACGGAATATTAATCCTTCCGAAGGATTATGCAATGGAACACGCCTTACTTGTCGAAGATTTGAGAAAAACGTAATTCTTGCTGAAATTACAACTGGTGAGTATTGTGGGAAATATGTTTTCTTACCAAGGATCCCTTTCATACCTCTTCAAAGTGATCGAAACTCAATTCAATTTAAGAGAACTCAATTTCCAATTAGACCGTGTTTTGCAATGACAATAAATAAAGCACAAGGTCAAACACTTGATTTTGTCGGTCTATATCTTCCAGAACCAGTTTTCTGCTATGGTCAGCTATATGTAGCATTATCAAGAGCAACAACGAGCACATCTCTAAAAGTTTTATTGAAACCATCAAGTATGGACAACTCACATAATACATGTACTAAAAATGTTGTGTACAAGGAAATTCTTTCGTTTATACATTCATATACCTAAAATGTTTGAACAGGTATATTTTTTATCTTCGAGAAATTTTTATAATATGTTCTCGTACAATAGTTTCCTCAATTTTAAATACATGAAAAATTATGTCGTTACTATTTTTTTCATTCTTTGCATTTGCTATAAAAAAATTTCACAGGTTTCATTATCGGGAATGAAAAGTTCTTTTTAATTCTTTGCTACATGTGTACAATGGAATCACTAATGACAGCTTCAATTACAACCTGCGTTTGCAAAAGGTATGATTCAAATTTTTTAGTGTTAGTTTAATAGTTTGCCAGATCGATAACTAATTTACTTTAGTAATATTTCAAAATAAAAAGTAATTTCTCTATTTTTAGAATATATTTACCCTTAAGAGTTTCACATTGTCACATAAATATTCTTCCATCAGTTAAAATGTGCTCTTATGCCAATTATTACAATGTTCAACTTTGTCAAAAAAAAAAAAAAAATTAGTATAATTATGGATTTTATGGAAACTCAATTTCAGATTCCCTTATTATCAACTTCAAGTTGTTTCCCCTCATATATCTTATAGTCTTTCACATTTAAGATATATGTAATTTATACTATTTCTACTACCTCTTAAAAGAGGGGGTTTATATTACTGTTCATTTATATCACAGCCGTTTACACCCACTGTTCCACAACCGTTTCTTTCTACAGTTCACATTTTTTTTGAATAAATGAAACAGAATCTCCTTTCTTAATACTAAACAAAACTCTAGCTTGCTTTCTCAAAACTCTTGCCCTTGTTCTCAAACTTTGAGATTTTGCAACCCGACGGCTAAAGGAGAGATCCATTTGAAGTACACTTGAAATACACTGTCTATGTTCTTGGCAATGGAAGGAGGCTTTTTCTATTATTCAACTTTTGTTTACGGTAAGGGCCTAGCTCTTCTTCTTCTTCTTTTTTTCTTTTCGAGTTAGCGGAGGAAGGCGATAATGAAGAGTATAGGACGACGATGGTCACTGTAGTAAATGACAGAAGAATCGAAGGCTGTCAAACTTATTTGATAAAGAAGCACATATTAATAACGAAAAAGAAGAGGAAGAATGTTGTAGCCAATAATTTTCTTTTTTAGTTTAGTTTTCGGAAACCTTTTGAGTTGTTGATGAGGATTTAATTCAATTATGTTGATTTGTTATGGTGTTCTAAATCTTGATTGATTCAATTGGATTTCTAATCCTTTTGATTTTCTTTTAATAATCTAATTGATGTCAATTAGTTTGTGAGATAGATTTGTTAAAAATTAGTTTCTCTATGAATATTATAAATTCCCTAAATTTAAGTCTTAAATATAATTTGTCTGCCCTTTGTGCATCATACGTTCTGATTCTTGGACAGTTTTATGCTTCTGTATTCTATCAATAGGGAGACTAATGCTTGATTTTCCTTTTGAAGCTCATGGTTTATTGAAATCATTTTGCTGCTTCTGCTTCTTGCTGGTTCCACTTGTACACTAACGGAATTGCACTTTAATTGCTTATAAATGATGTGTAAAATACGATTTATGGCTTTGTCATCAGCTATTTATAATCTGATTTTTTGCTTTTATAATGAATTAGTCTAATACACTACTTTATGCAAGCTACCTAAAGCATTATCTTAATTTCTCTAGGTGTGGTTGCAAGATTAAATGCTCAACATGGTGTTAATTTAAGCACACCTACGTCTTTTAGCAATCTTGTTGCTGGAGGTAATAATAGTATGGACATGGGGGTAGTTGTTCGCTCTAGCAGACCTTTCGCAATGGTTGATGAAATTACAAAAGGATCTTCAGCAGCAGCAGATGGCTTACAGCTTGGAAATCAAATTGTAAAATTTGGGAATATGAAAATAGGCGAGAATTTGGTACAGAAGCTTACTACTGAAGCTCAGATAAATCAGAGCCATGCAATGCTTGTGGTAGTTATGGGGCAAGGTGTTTTCATAAATTTGACCATAAAACCCAACTCTTGGCAATGTCATGACCTACTTGGTACGTTACATTCTAATCATATTTTATATTTTTCCCTTTTTTTTAAACTATGTTTCAGTTGGTCAATAAATCTCATTTATGCAAGTGAATCATGAAATGTTCAATTCCAACAAATCATCTTGAACTAAAAATATGCTAATGTTATATATTTGAATTTTGTTGATTTTATACAATAAGATCAATAATACATAAGTTTCTTTTAATTTCGATAGTCCAATAATATTCCTTGTTCTAATTAAGTTTTACATAGAGATGGTTTGATGCTCTTTTAGAATTTAATGAACATTTTATGCTTTCCCTTTACTTCGTGCAACGTTAGGAAATATTTGAGTGAATTTAACATTATTCTTCTTGATAGAATATACAAAACTGGTGTGTGTACATTAACGCTTTCCTATTTAATCATCTAACTTTGTTCGGTGAACAAAAAATTTTGTGAGCAACTATTTTTATTATATATACATTACATATTTCTTTATCAATGCATGAATTGATTTTATGGGAAACTTAATAAAATTTTTTTTACTAATTTTATTATTAATCTAAATTCTAACCAACAATGTTATTTTTTCAGAGTAGGATTACAGTCATCCTATGTCTAAAGACAATTAATCTTACATGGTCGAAAATATATTCACTTTCAATGCTGATAAATATGCAAAGATGGAATTTGGATTGAATTATATGATGATATGTTTCCTTGCATTATGCTATATTGTTATGTTTCTTAGTATATGATATTTTCAATTTTTATTAATTGAATGATGAACATATGAAAAGATAAATTTTCAAGATGCTTATTCTTTACATTCCTACTCTTTTAAAAAATGGAATCTTACGTCTACTGTTCATCTAGGAAGCATTTTAAGTGTTTTCCATCGTATCTCCAAATCCATCTGGCAAAGTAATTCTTATACTAAGGGTCTAATAATTTTTTTTATACGATATATATTCTTCTCTAGCCAAAGACAATCTGCTACCGAAAACTTTAATTCATAATTCCATCTTAAAAAAAAAAAAAACATTAGCTAGCCCTAATTTCTCTTATTCTTCTGAATTATTGAAATTAATTCGAAATAATCTATAGGAATTGAAACATTTGTAAGTATAATTCGTGTACGGCATTTCTCTTTGAAATGTTATGTAATTTCAATTTATTATTTGTAGAATATTAGACACAGTATTAGTGAAATTTAGTGATCGCCGGTTCAGTATGTGTGAAGATCAATTTGGCTAATTTTCGCCTTGCCTTGTCACTATTATATCTAATTTAGCATTGACATTTTTTGACCTTTCTAGGTTTCTTCAAGTTAGAAATGACTTATATTCTTTGACAAATAAGAAGTTGATTATTGCAATAGATATTAAACCATACATATAAATTTTCTAAATATCTTCCAACTCTTTTCTATAATAGTTTGGACTGCTTTAGGTTTCATATAATCTTCATGTCATGCTTGATGTTGTCGCAAACAAGGGATAAGATCTGCTATCTTCATTCGTTCATGTCTCCAGTTAATATAACTTTAGATAAGAAATTAAGTCAATTATATCAAATATGTACTTTTTGATTTTTTGCATCCTTTTGTCTATGTTATTTTAACTCTGGTCCTTCCTAAATGAATGCATTATGGCAATTAATGCATGAACGTTGGACATCCTATATCTAATCTATTTATCGTCTTTTTTGTGGTAAGGTAAACCGACAATGAGAAGTTAGCTGATGATGAAGAGGAAACTAAGGGGAAGTACATCCATGGTGATGTATTCAAGTACTTGAAATACAAATTTTTGTTTATAATAAATGATGGTTCAACCTTAGTATCCTTTATTATATTTTCCAACGTCCTGGATTCGAAGTTTTCTATTTACTCTTTCACTTAATTAAAAACTAATGTTTTTCATACAATTCATACATTTTTCGACCATAAATTGAATTTTCTTCTTACTAATGTAATAAGTGAACACAATAGTTTTTCAAAATACATAAATCCAACAGAAAATAAAGAAAAAAAGACAAACAACAACGATAGTAACATTTAACCTGATAACACCTATGATAATATAAGTTAAGCTCCCCACAAATTCGTGAATAGATAAAATTACTTAATAAATAAAGTGAATAAATAAAGTTACTTACTAAATGTATTATGCATGAAGCACTTGTATTTGAAACATATGGATTAACAATCCTTCTTCCAATTTGTAAATCTAACATAATGTATTAAATTTTAGCAAATTATAAAGTAATATTTTTCAAAATCAACACGTGAACCAGTAAAAAACTAACACAGAAAACTACCAACTTTTTATAAAAGCCTTTTCAATTCTAAGTATATATCTACATGAAATAGATATTTTACAAATGACAAAAAATAGTACGTTACTTTCCACGCACAGCTTTTAAACGTATAAACCATCATCAATTGCATATATATATAGATATTATACAAATGAAAAAAAATAGTGCCAACTTTCCACGCAAAACTTTTTCATATAAACCATCATTAACTTTTTCTTTCACTTTAATTCTCATCCATACAAAAAGATATTTTACAGACGAAGAGTATGGTTGGATATTAAAACGAAGATTCTTCTACTCACGTTCTATCTATTAATATCTGCTTTCGACTAAATAATTTTATGT